GCGTCCGGGGCGGTGTTGAGGTCGGGGTCGGGGGCGGCGTCCCGGGCGGCGTTGAGGTCGGGGGCGGGGTCGGTGTTGAATCTGGGGTCGCGGGCGGCGTGGGGAGAGCGCGCGGCGGTCGAGGGGCGACGGCGGCGGTGAGAGTGGAGTTGATTTGGGGGATGAAGTGGCCGTGGGGAAGGACGAACCGCGTGGTTAAGTCAGAAGTACCAGTAGCGCGTTCCAGAAAGGGCGCTACTGCTACGTTAGCTACAACGCGTTCTGGAAAACACGCTGCAGCTAAGGAGATTAGCAGTATCACTGGGCCATTATACGCGCTACTGCTAGGTTGGGCTAGCCATGTGCGCCCAGTTCAAACGTAGCAGCAGCGCTTTTTGCTAGTACGCGCTACTGCTAAAGTCATAGCAGTAGCACGGTTTATTTACGCGCGCTGCTACTAAGTAGCAGCAGCGCTTCATTTTGTACAGCGCTACTGGTAAAATTCTGTGTATAGGCTTTTCCCTAGTAGTGACTATGCAGAAATCCCCAGCCACGTCGCCTTATATGAGGTCTTCTCCCGAGTGGCTGCCTTGTGGGTCCAAGTAATCCCGTCAAATCCCGCAACAGTCGCGCGCGCAGTACGTGACGAAAAAGGTGGCACAGGAATCGAGGCGCCCCCGCCTAATCTTCTCCGATTACTGCGGCCTCCTCCACCCCGCACGCTTCCCGAAATTCAAATCCCGCAGGATCCACAAGCAGCAGAGCAACCTGTCAGACGGAAGATTTTTTTTCCATATCAACACTCGAAGCTTTTCAATAAAAGTTCACTCGACAAACTAAAAATGGATCAAGGCGACTGAAAAAGAAGTTGAAGTCATCGTGATTGGTCATTTGATCTCAGTAAGACGCTTCCGAAGCGCAAGAATTAAGTCGGAGGTATTTTCAACTCCTTCTCCACCCAAACCTTGAACCATTCGGGGGCTAATGATGAAGCTATGTAGCTAGGGTAGGGTCATATGCCTGACCTAGACACCCTCCACTAGGACATCACCCTAAATCTAGAAGTATTCAAGGGATACCATCATCCACTCGACCAGAAACGTTCCACTCGGAAGACTCAGTGTCACTCGACCATGACAATGATCACTCGACGATCAGAAGACCTAAAGCCACTCTGTATAGCAACGGTCGAACGTTTACTCTGTAGACTTAATGGTCATTTATGTCACTTTATTGCTGGTGTTACCAGAAACGCCCCATTTTTATGTACCTTAAACCCTATGTAACTGAGGGCGGGAGGGGTCTAGCGAACTCTATATAAGCCACCCCCTCCTCAGGGACAAGGGTTCGCATCCCTGTAATACCACACTCATATAATCCAGTCGACCGCCTCCGGGCACCGAGACGTAGGGCTTTTACTTCCACCGTGAAGCGCCCGAACTCGTAAATCTTGTGTGTACAACTTCACCATAGCTGGGATCTTGCCTCCTCATACCTACCCCCATTCTACTGTCAGTCTTAGAACCACGACAAACCCTAAGATAGATAAAGGGGTGATGGCGGCGAGCCCCTTCCTTCTCACCGGCGAGGCCATTCCTTCTCCTTCCTTCACTCAAAATCGACTGACCCAGAACTGAAAAGTCAGCTGACTGAAATGTAGCTAATCAGGTGGAAAAGTGTTGTTATGCCTAGATATAAAATTTTCTTTTAAGTTTTGCATTTAGCATCATCATCATGAGATGCTGGCACATCTGGATGCACAAAGACTCGAGGATTTTCCACTGTACGTCTCCTACGGTGGCTTCTTGGAGAATATTATTCAGAAAGGCCCTACTCCTCATCCGCATGATCAAATATAAGCATTCGACCAAATTTAAGGAGTGGATTAGAGAACATCTCAGCTAAAAACTCAAAATTATGATCATGATGCTCCCAAATGCTGGCATTGGTTAAACTTCAGGCTTTATTTTGTATTGATTTTTGTTTTATTAGTTTTTGGATGCTTTGTATATACTATTTAATATAATGGAAAATACCATAGAACGTTTTTTTTGTTAAAAAGAATGTTCGGAAGTCTAGTTTGAGAGCCATTTTCTTGGTAGAATCAGACCAACTGGGCGCACACTCGCGTGGATGCATTCTTGCTTTGTGCTGCAGAGAATTCATCTAGATTGCTTTCAATTTTACAGGGGAACCACAAATGAGATGAGCAGCAACAATATTTTGGCACAACGCAGCCCCAGCACAGCAGCCGGCTGCTCCTGTACAAAAAGAATAACTCGAATGGAAGCTAGCCGTCGATTTACGTTCGGCTGCTCGATCATCCCTCGTGGATGCTCGGTTACCACAGCACGTTGGTGACAAGGCAGAGCGCGAGCACTCTGAAGACGCCGCTGAAGTGCCGGCCCGTGGGAGGAGCACCGGCGACGGCGTCCGGGCTGGCCGTTGGTGCCGTCCCAGCCATCGTCGGACTCTTGATCCCCCCCTCCGACGGCATCGGCGCCAGTGAAGGGCCGAGATACGTCTCGAAGAAGGACGACGTCGGCGGCGGGATCAGCGGCGGGAACTGGTGCGGGACTGCACGCGAGAACGGCACAAATTGTGAGCAAACAACCAGCACCTCCGTATCCATGGAGTAGCAGCTACAGCTACGGCAAACGGATGGAGATCGGCGGCAAGAAAACTCGCGTGCGTACCTGGGCACAGGGGCTTGAGCGCCGTTGTTAACCTGAAAGGTGCAAAGATCTAGCTAGGATGAAACAGAGCTGTCCATGAATTGCAGAACGAGATGAAATTGGGTGATATGGCGCTGGATTGTTACGTGGTGAGGATGGTGCCGTTGGCGTAGCCGCCGTAGCCGCAGGAGGTGACGCTGCAGCCGGCGCCGGTCATGACGAGGGTGAAGTTGCCGAGCATCATGCTGCTGTTGCCGCACTGCATGCTGGAGCACGCCGCGTCCGCCAGCGGCGCCGGCACGCAGAACAGCCTGCGGCGAGGAGCGAGCGACGGCGTCAGTAATAAAACATGTAAAAAAGATCATCGAACGAAGGCAGGTCCACGATGGTGCCTACTCCAAGCTGGCCGGACCACAGCTGCACTGGACGCACCGGTCGGCAGTCACTGCGTAGGTCCCGTTCGCCACGGCCAGCCCGTAGTCGGACGTGAACGTGGGGAACGACGAGGTGCACGCTGCACAGGGACACGAAAATGGAAGGGTGTCAGATTGTCAGTAGGCAGCAGATGGTAGGGTAAGTTGCAATGACAAGATTGGAGACGAGAACAAGATGCATATCGTCGTCCTGTTTGCCGACTAGGTAGTAAGTATGGTAACTAGTCATTGGTTAATAATCGGTGCCATCCTCGTCCTGTTAGCCCATGATCTGACAGAGCATCTGGGAATAGTGATGGATCCAATTTTGTCCTCGCGTTCTTCAGAAAAGACAGATGAGGTTTGCATAGCGCATAATTTTATCAATCTCCATTGGGGTAACATGATGAACAAAATGACAGGAAAAACTGTCAGTCAGAGCTCTGAATTGTTTACTTCTGCAAAACTTCATACGTTCAGTTGTTTGCTATTCGAGGGCAACTACGGGGATTTTTTGTTCGAGATTCAGTATGGGGCATTTAAAATGGCTCATACGTATGTCTGTTTCTGAATCCGGCAGACTTGGTTGTCAAAACGTTGCATTACCGCCAAACCAAACTAAGTTTGAACTTTGAAGTGCAAACATCCAGTTGTTCATGGACACTGATGATAGATTAGTCTAGAGACTAGAGCTAGATTGCTAATAGTACAACGTTTGTTCCATCCGTCTCACCAAGAGTGCGTGAGTAAACGATAAATGTTCACCGACTAATTTTGTCTGCAAACATCGGATCTGACCAACCAACCAAGAGTGCGTACGTGCAGTGCTGTCAGGTCTCTCACCAAAGCAGAACAAACAAAACCAAAATTTACCGGATCTCCAAGAAGAGGCAACGCAAACGACTCACCTGGCAGCGGGAGCACGAGGATGTCCGCGGCGGCGACGTCGGCGGTGGCCAAGTCGTTGACGCTCATCACGTCGGTGGCCGTGGTGTGGTACCTCTTCGCGATGGCGGGCACGGTGTCCCCTCTGGCCACCACGTACGTGAGGTACACGGCGGGCACCCCGTTGTCCGCCCCGCCGAAGCACGCGCAGTGCAGCGGCACGAGCAGCGCGGTCCCGGCGTCGACGGCGCCGTCGGGGGCGGTGAGGCCGCCGTTGGAGTCCCTGATCCAGTCCGGGGAGGTGAGGCCGCCGTAGACGCGCGAGGCGATGGAGCCGAGCGTGTCGCCCGAGCGGGAGACGTAGCGGGCGGAGGTGGCCCTGCTGACGCCGCCGGAGCAGGCGCAGGGGACCGGCACGCGCAGCGCGAGGCCGGCCGGGAGGATGCGGCCGGCCGGGCCCGGCACGGCGAAGTCGATGGCGTTGGCGGCCAGGATGGCGAGCGGGTCGGCGGCGAACAGCGCGGCCAGGTCGGCGAGCTTGAGGTCGGCGTGGAGGGTGTAGGAGAGCAGCGCGGGGCAGGTCGTGGCGGAGGCACAGGGCTCGAGCAGCGCGGGCTTGGACGCGGCGCCGGGCGGCCCCGTGCAGGCGACGGCGGCGAGGAGGAGCGGGAGGAGGCGGCGGTGGAGTGGGGTGGACGGGAGTGGCATGACGGTGGTCGGGGAGCGCGGAGGCGTGTGGCGTGTGGGAGTGTGGGACTGTTGACTTGGAGCCTCGCGGTTTCGAGGGTGGCGACTGGGAAACCGAGGGAATGGAGACTCGCGAGGCTACGGAGCAGGTCGGCCGCTGCGCTCCGGATCTCTCGTGATCGCTGTTGGGCGACTCGGGCGCGGGAATCTTTTCGCGCTTACATGTGTTATAAACGCGAAAAATCTCCACTTGCCCAACCGTTGTCGGATCGTATGAAAGGCTCCTGTAACTATGGACAGAGACAAACATTTAATTTTTCTCAAACGCGTTATCAAGCCAACTCGCACGATCTCAAACGGACGTCTGATTTAACCGGATTTTATTCTTTTGGGTAGGACGATAGAGTCGTGTTCGGGCGTGTCCTGAGATGCGGTGACCGTGCGTCCAGCGCGCGACCGCATCTGTTTGCCTCATCTTGTCCGCCTTCATTTTAAAAAGACAACAACGTTTCAAATGCTAAGTCCTAGTTCAGGCCAGCGGCCCTAGTTCACGCCGGCAACAGAACCAGCGGTTTACACGTCCATCACCGGCAACACAGCCAGCCTCCAAAATGAATACTTGTCCTCGCCGACAACACAGACAGCAGCCGGCAACACAGCCAGCCTTCAAAATGAATGTTTTTCTCGCCGGTACATAGCCAGCGGGCGGGTGGCACCCATGCCAACCTCCAAAAAGAACGGCCACGGCCGATCGGACGACCTAATTCAGGCCGTCAGCGTCAAATATCTCCTTCTGCCTGGCCTCGAACCAGCTCCTCGTCTTCTCACTCATCTTGGACAAGTCCACGCTCATGATCGCAAGGCCCACCTCCTTTGCTTTGGTTGCGGCATTGGTGGCCTCGATGTCAAGCTGCCTCTGCCTGGCCGAGACATTGGCGGCCTCGATGTCGAGCTGCCTTTGCCGGGATGCCTCCTCCATGTCCATCTTCCTCCTCTTGGCCGCCTCCGCCATCTCAAGCTTCTTTCTTTGAAGCTCTAGGTGTTGCTTCATTTGTTCGTCCTTACTTTGCCGCTTCTTCTCGTCCCTCACATCCTTTTGAGACATCATACCATGCAAAGTCTCACGCAAGGCCATGGATGAGGCATCGCGTATGTCGTCCACCTTGGAGTTGGTCTTGCCTCTCGGCCTCTTCAATGCCTCGCCATCTCCACCTCCGGCGAACTTGGCCATCTTCTGGCCTCTCTTCCTTTGGAGTTCACGGTATTGATCCTTGAACTTAGGGCAATTGTTGATGATTGTCCAACAATGCGTAAGAGTGAATGGCTTGTCATTGTGCCGGGCCTTGAATGCTTCCAAAGATTGAAATGCCTACACCACATGATCAACAACAATTGAACATGCAAACATATACAAGGCCGAAGTCTCATGGTCGTAGCAAGGAAAGGACTAGGAAGGAGATCATACCATGTCCCTAATGCTGAGACCACTCACGGGCCATGCTTCAACGCTCTCAAATGCGGTGCAATACTTGTTACACTCATGTTGGATGAACAACCACCTCTTTTGAATCGAGGTGATGCCACGGTTGCTTGTAATTTGATAGGGCTCAAACATCTTCCTTTCATGAAATGTTTTGTGGACTCCCGTCCAAAAAACAAGGCCCTTTTGTTGCGCGCCGGTCTTCGGATCTTGGCTAATCTCCATCCAACATTGGCAAATCAACTTGTCCTCATCTTGTGTATATGAACCCGTGCGAATGCTCTTCCTCCTCTTTTGTGCTTCCGCTCTCTGGGTGAGCTCGTCGATGAACAATGGCTCGCCACCAATATCAATGTCATTGACTTCTTCTTCATCCCCATCTCCTTCGCAATAGATGTCATCGTCTTCATCCCACGAGCCACCATGGTCGTAGTCAGCACGGTCGCCGGCCTCTTCATCGGCAACGTACTGGGCGCGGCCATCCTGACTTTGGGTCTCGTCGGGATCGTAGGCACAGTCATGCCCACCCTCGAAGATCACATCCTCCATGAACTGGTTGTAGAAGGGGTCGTCAACCAGTGGCGTTGGTGTTGGCATTCCGTCGAACAAGATGCAGGGTGGCGGCATGGTGCCCGTAAATGGTGGCCGTGCATGCTTTCTTTGCATCTCGACGGACGGCGGCCGGCTGCCGCTGCTAGACCCAGGCGTGACGTTGAGGTAGATGATGGCCGAGGGGCGTGGGATGGACGACGCGATCACGCCAATGTCCGGCGACCCCGATAAACAGGTCTAGGCGTCGTGCCTTGGCGGGGGAAAGCCGGGCGACATGGACGTGGTCCGCGGCGTTGGTGACTGGCAGTGCGGAGGTCGGGCGACCGACGAGCCTGTGCTCGCCGGGCCGACGGCCGCTGCAGGGAAACCGGCTGGACGACACATGCCAAGCATGAGGAGGGCGTGCGCTTTGTTGACGATGTCCTCCTTCTCGTCGACCGCGGCCTTGCGCCGCGCGGCCTCCATTGCATCGCACTCGGCGGTGAACTTGGCCGCGGCGGCATTAACCTTGACGACCGCTCTCCGGCTCCTCCTCTTCGCAGATTCCGCGTCCAACTTGGCGATCTCCTCCGCCGTGCACTCTGAATGCGGCTTCCTTGGCGCCTTGGCCTTCTTCT